AAGGTACATAAAGACTTAACAGCAGTGATTTTTGTGGAAATTCACCAATTATAATCTGTAATGTTCTCACTCTCATGCCTGTACCACCATCCTTTATTTCATTACCTTCTTATATACTGTTTACTCATTTATTGTATTTATTGTCTGTCTTCTTCTACTAAACTGTAAGCACTATTATGGCAAGATTTTAAAAACCTCAGTGCTCAAAGTGGTACCTGGCACATAGTAGAATTTGATATATATTAAATGAATGGATGAATGAATGAATGAATAAATAAATAGTTCCTGAATTAGGAATAGGGCCTTTGTGTTAGGGATGAAGACCTAAGGTCTAAATGTAGTTCCTAATTACCTATAAAAGCTTGAGTAAGTCTAAGCTTACTCAACATCCATACAATAAAAATATTGGCTCTAAGTTTCTTTCTAGCTCTAAAATTCCATGATTCTGAACATTCTTAGTTTTTAAATACCTAGAAGCATAGAACCATTTTTTTTTTGTGTTTAACTTTCAAATAAAGTTTTTTTACACAGGACCTCAAAATTCAAAACAGATAAAAATGTAACTGTTCTGACTGAATCAGGAGTGGAGATAGAAAAGTTGAGGGAAGGAGAATGAACTCCCACTACTGCTTGATGGAAAGTCCTTTCTTTGTGGTAGTTTCTGAGGCACATCCAAGGAACATTAGGGATCTATAGGACTTAAGTTAGTTTCAGAAAGCTTTTTCTAAATTAAGTGTGGGGTTTCAGGGTGTAGATCAGTGGTAGAGCTCATGCATAACATGTACAAGGTCCAGAGTTTGATCCCTAGCACCACAATAATAACTTATTAAAAATGAATAAAAATAAATAAATATTAGGTATAGATCATGTCTTTGAGTAAAATTCTGTTTGTGCTCAGATATGGATTTGAAGGAAATGTTGACTAATGAAAAAGAAGATGTGTGTGTTAGGTGGCAGATGGTAGATGAAGTTTTCTTTTTCAGATAATCTAAAAAAAAAAAAGATTGGGGCTGGGGTTGTGGCTCAAGCAGCAGCGTGCTCTCCTGGCATGCATGCAGCCCGGGTTCGATCCTCAGCACCACATACAAACAAAGATGTTGTGTCTGCCAAAAACTAAAAAAATAAATATTAAAAAAACTCTCTCTCTCTCTTAAAAAAAAAAGGGGGATAATTTTTTTTCTTTTTTCTTTTTTCTTTTTCTTTTTTTGGTATCGGGGATTGATCCCAAGGTAGCTTAACCACTGGGTCACATTCCCAGTCTGTTTTGTGTTTTTCTTTGAGACAGCGTATCGCTAAGTTGCTTAGGGTCTTGCCAAGTGGCTGAGGCTGGCTTTGAACTAGGCAATCCTCTTGCATCAGCCTCCTGAACCACTGGGATTACAGGAGTGAGCCACTGCATCTGTCTAGGATAAACGTTTTGATAATGTATTTTTATTAGGAATGCATTTGGTTAAGGTCCATCAATACACTTTTGATGTAATATGTCTATAGTTTTTTTTTTTCCTATAGGCATAAATGTCATATAGGCATGTAAAGATCTTTTTGTTTTGGAATTGCCAGAGGATGAAGGGATCTTTATGAAGTTTCACATAAAGATTCTCCTAGTCATCACCCCATTACTAATCCTATCACATATAAGTTAAAGTTAATATTAGAACTAATATCTAAGCAGTGGGTCTTAGGTGGAGGACAGCTGTTAGATAAAGGAGTTCAATAGGATAGTGAATTAAATGACATAGGCAGTTCTTTTCTTCTGAATGTGTAACCAGATTGAACTCTGTCTGGGTTGCCAGCTGGGAGACAAGCTAAGTTAATATTTGCATAGCTCCATGCTCTGAATTGTTTGAGGGATGGTTTGGCTTGTTTGAATTTGGGTATCCAATAATAATCAAGAGATTGAAAGCTCTTGTTTTATTGAATACATATTTACAATGTATTATATTACCTTTTATTAATATAGCAGCTAAAGAAACATTCAGATTAAATTGTCAATAGGTTCATTTGTCTGGTATCCCTTCCTGGATAATAGCAGTGATAAATGTACCTAGACAATACCTTTTGTTTAAGGATATTAATACTTAAAATACCCCAAATCTTTGTATTTTTTTTATTACTCGGTTTATTCTGAAAACTCACTTGGTCCTGTTAATTTATTAAGCATTTTGGCACTTTCTTTTTCAGAGAAGTAAAAGCATAGAGGTACCACTTTGAGTAGAAGCTTTCTTGAGGCTATTATGCTAGAAAATGCAGAGACACTTGTTGATGGTTATTATTGATTGCCCCAACTGACTGGTCCTGTCTGGTGCTATGGTAACTGTAGCAACATTTGAAATTATTCAAAGTCAATTTATCCAAAGAAACTTATTTCAATTATCCAAAATTTAAGGATCCAACAACACTGAGGTCTGGTTTCTAATTTTCTTGAGTGCCCACTTCGATATTTGTAATCCTTAAAGAAGCATATTTTCTTTGCCTAATTTAAAAAGCTTTTAAAAATACGGTTGTCTCTTGGTATCCATGGGGGACTGGTTCCAGTATCCTCCATGGATATCAAAATTTACATATGCAAGTCCCTTATATAAAATGGTATAGTATTTGCATATAATCTACACATATAATGGAGATTGATCCCAGGGGCACTTAATCACTGAGCCACATTCCCTGCCCCTTTTAGTTTTAATTTTGCAACAGGGACTCCCTAAATTAATGATTCTAGTCTTAAGTTTGCAATCTTCGCCTCAGCCTCCTGAGTCATTGGGATTATAGATATGTGCCACTAAGCCCAGTTCCTATATACTTTAAATAATTTCTACATTACTTGTAATACTCAATACAGTGTAAATAGTTGTCGTACTATATTGTTTAGGGAATAATGACAAGAAAAAAGTCTTTATATGTTCAGTACAGATGCATTTTTTTCCCTAAATATTTTTGATCCACGGTTGTTTGAATCCCCATATGCAGAACCTGTAGATATGGAGGGTTGACTGGAATTTTTTCTTTAGTAATGGGTTTATTTGGTTGTTTTGAATTTAGGTACTATCTAGTAGTAAGTATTCCTTATTTTCTTATCTGCTTATCACAACAATTAGTGAATTATGGCAAATATCGTTGTTTCATTTTAAATAGGAGGAACCTGAGTCCCAGAGAGATGTAGTGACTTTCTTAGGAATGATAAGCAGTAGTGAATGACCAAGCCTTGGACACAGGTCTTGATTCCCAGGTTAGTACTCTTTCTAGTAGAAGTACAACTCAATGCATATCATTTTTCTTCCTCAACCTGCCATTTGGAAATCACAAGACAACATTAATCTATCAAAACAGATTAAAATGAAAGAAAAATCAATGGAAACTAGTAGTGAATTGAAATATTATTAAATTTACAACATTCCATCCCAGAAAGTTGCTTAAGCCCCCATTAAAAATGAAAGATGATAGAAATGAACTATCTTTAGATGGATTTATGATTAACCATGTGTATCTTTTCTTTGTGACCTGTAGAACCTCAAAATCATTTCTACAGGAAATTTACTGTTACATTACAGCTGACTTTTTTTTTTTTATTATTGTCTTCCTTGGTATTTAACATTTTGTAGTGTGCTGGAGGAAAATTGCATTTGAACCATAAAATTAGACCTAACTTGACATTGACTTTCATTGAAGAAAAATAGATATTTCAAAATCAAATGATTTATTTTAAAACTTAGTTGTAGTAAAAGATTAATGTGTAATTCAGGATAGCCTTTGTCATTGTGGTTACTTATATTACATGGTAGTTCATATATTTAAAAATGTAATGATATTCCATAATTATGGTCACTGACTGAATTAATATGTTTAAAACAATCCATTGCTCATTGCGTTGTCTCTGCTGTCAGCACCTAACTTGAAGTTGCTTTGCATCTCCACTCCTACCTCAAAGCAATAGCAAAACAAGAAAAGACACATAAACAGTGGCTTCTGGCAGTAACTTAGCTGTGTGTGGTTGATTTTGCCACCTGGTGGTAGAGGCCAAAAAAGGTCTCACTATTTCTTTGTTACTTTTCTTCTAAGGCTGATCCTCCAGTTTTCTTTTGTAATTCAGAGCTCAGTAAATCCTACTTTAAGCAATCTCTTTCTCATCTCTACCTACAGATTTATTTCTTTACCTTCCTCTTGATTCTCCCTTCTTATTTATTTTCATTATTTATTTATTTATTCACTTATTTATTTATGTATGTACCAGGGATTGAACCCCAGGGCCACTTAACCACGAAGCCACATCCCTAGCCCTTTTAAAAATTATTATATTGAGACAGGGTCTTGCTAAGTTGCTTAAGGCCTTGCTAAGTTTCTGAGGCTTCGAACTTGCAATTCTCCGGCTTCAGCTTCCCAAGACACTGATTTTACGGGTGTGTGCCACTGTGCCCAGTTCTTCCTTCATCTTTAAATTTAGTGACCTCAGGAACATTTACTGTTCCTTTTCTTTTTGCTTTTCATCCTTCCAAAAGAAAGAAAATTAAAAAGTGACCTTAATTATTGTTGCTGTCTGAGATCACTGCTAGTAAATGTGTAGGGACACCCTCTGAAGTGATGGGCTCAGCTGAAGGAACAGAAAAGACTTATATTTAGAAGTGAAGTGCCACACAGGGAAAGGCCTGGGGCCTTTCACCTCAGAGGCTTCTGAACAAGTGTAGACATCCCTTGCTGCATCAGAATCAGCATTCCTCTCTTCCTTCCATTTCTGGTAAACGTGTTTTTTTCCAAAATACCAACATTTAAGATACGTTTTAAACCCAACTCTTTACCCAGTATTGTTATTTTTCTGAGATTTAATAGAGAACTTAGTTTTCTACTAATTTTACTGCAAACATGCAGCAGTTTGGACATTCTAAGGCAGTGATTCTCACGCTTAAGCATTCATTGGAATCATTTGGAGGCCTTGTTTAAAATACAGATTTCTGGGCCTTACTCCTAGTTTCTGACTAGGGTCCAGGGTGAATTTGAATTTGATTTTTTAAAAAAATATGGAACACTTCACGAATTTGCATGTCATCTTTGTGCAAGAGCCATGCTAATCTTGTCTGTATCATTCCAATTTTAGTATATGTTCTGCCAAAGTGAGCACTTGAATTTGAATTTTAACAAGTTTTCAGGTTGTGTTGGTACTGATGGTCTAGACCACACTTTAAGAACCACAGCCCCAGAGTTATGTGGCCTTCGGCAGTGTGGAGTATTGTACGGTGTTTTGTAGTCCATTCTTCGGTCTAGGCTTATGCAGAGGGCATTTTCTGGCATATGGACAATCTGGATTCCAGGCTGCCACTTTTTATTTTACAGCTGGGACTACTTGACTTTTAGGGTCAGACTTTGTTTAAGGGTAGTGATTGTGTTTTGTTATTTTGTTTTTTCACTCTTAAGAAATGGCTAGAATCTATTAAACAATACTTAGTGAACACTGGTATGTATTTAGGTAGGGGTAGTTAGTATTGTATGCCTGCACTATTGAGTATCATTTATAGGGTTTCCATAAGAAAAAGGCTCTGGGTTATGAATGAGTTACATTACCCTGTGTGACCTTACTTGTTTGTGAAGTAATAGAATATTTTTGCCCCCCATTTCCCTTCTGGTAATAATCTGATTTTTAGTGCTGATTAGTCCATTAAAGGCATTGCTCTTACAACAGTGGATACAAAGAAAGGAGAAAGTGGTTTTCTGGGCAAATTTTATATAGCAATTTTATTGATTAGTCTTTATAATATTCTAGCTAATCTTTTTTTAAAAAGAAAGGAAACAAGACAGATACCTGAAATACTAAGCAAGTGACAAATAGTAGCTGTTTTAGGGAGTCCCAGTGATGATATTATGAAGTAAACTGCAAATGCAGAAGGAACAGGTGCAGTGCTGAATCAGGAGCTAAGCAGTCTCAGGAAATACTGTATTAACTCTTCCGTATGACCATTTACCTTTTGTGTGATTGAGAGCAGCACAGCAGAACATCAGCTCAGTGTTGTGTGTGATTGAGGAGTTCTTTCTTTGCCATGATGACAGCATCTAAAATCTCAAATCTGTAGCACTTCAAGAGCCTTTAGACATCATCCTGATTGGATACCCTCGGTGTACAAGTGAGGAAATGAGACCTAGATAAGGAAAGGACCTGCCCCAAATCACGTGTCTAGTAGGAGGATGTTTGGATTTGAGCTCTGCTCTGTGGTTCTGGGTTTAGTGCTGCTCCCATAGCACTGTGCTACCTTTCCCCTCATTGGTCTTAGCCTATTTGTAGACCTTTAAATTCCTGAGTGACCTTTGGATGTGCAAAGTTGGGGATGATATTTTTGTAAGCTTTTGTCTGTATTCTTCAAAGGCTATTTTCTGGCATAAAGAGTGGGCATAGTCTGCCATCATCACCCATGATTACAGCTGTTTGATTCCATCTGCAGATCTAGTCTTGGCCTTGTACCTTGGTCAGGCAGATTGAGAGAGCTCAAGGTCACAGCCTGTCTGGTTAATAAGATCCCATCTAGGCTGTTGTTCCTGTCATATCCTGTCCAAGTTCATGTGTTTTAACTTATGTCTGAATTCTGTCTTGATATGTTCCTGAAGGATTGGGGACCTATCTTATTATTATCAACTCTTTCTTAACTATGGAAGGAAGAGCTGGGAGATGTGGTGGGGGCTTGTGGGTAACATTTGTTGAGCTTATACTCTGTACCCATCACCTTACCTTCATCATACTATTTAATCTTCATTGCATCTCTAGGAAGTATTATCTGTTTTACAGATGAGGAAACTGAAGTTCAGGGAGATCATGGGACTTGCTTAAGATGATATAGCTAATGAATGGTGGAGCTAGGTAAGGTTCATATTTGAATTTGTTGAACTCTAAAACCCACATTTACTTCACTGTACTACTCAGGGCCTATACTTTGCCCCACATACCCCAGTTTATTCTTTTTCAGAATATTTATTGAACCCTAAAATATTCTAATAATGCTAGTCGTTGGAGAGGCAGTCCCTATCCAAATGGATCTTACTATCTATTAGAGAAGACAAAATAATGATGAGCGTGCTGTGTTAAAAAGGAGAAGTGATGGGCCAGACCTTGTGATGCATACCTATTATCCTGTTACTTGGGAGACTGAGGCAGGAGGGTCACAAGTTTGAGCCCAGCCTGAGTAATTTAGTGAGACCTTGATTCAGAATTAAAAATAAATGGGCACTGGTAGGGCACTACCACTGTTTCAGTCTCTAATGGGTGGGCTGGGGGGAAGAGAAAGGGAGGGAGAGGAAAGGAGGTGGACTTCAGAGGGGATACATATTAGGTAAGCCTAATCTAGTCCTGGGTCAAGTGGAGGTGCAAGAACTGGTGGAAGAAACATTTAAATAGAGTCAGCATGAAAGAATCTTTCACAAAGAGACCCAAAGGAAGGCCAGTATAGCAGGCACACAGTGAGAATTTGCAGGCTGATGTTCTGCTTCTTGAAATCTATCTTATGCTGCCTGCCTGCCTGCCTAGCACAGTGCCTGACATTTAATGGGTTCCCAATGAATGTTTGCTGAATGAATGCATGAATGGCTGAAACAATGAATCAATGGCAATGCCTGAAAGCTCATTTCACTTCTTACATAATAACATAAGTTATCTTGGAATGATTCATAATTTCAAACAGCTTTATCCTCCGGCTTCTCTTGTCTTTCTGTTGTTTTGGGTTTCCTTGCTATATTTTGAACTCCACACACATGTCCTGCCTGCCTTCACAGCCATGGGGTGTCTTCCTGCCTCAAAGAGAGCAAAAGCAGAGCTGCCCTATTATCCTCTTAGAGGCTGCCTTGAGCATGAAGTTTGAAATAGCGTCAGTGATTTGATTTTTTCCTCTAGGGATCTGACAATTGAAAATAAATGTAGTTAAGAGCCCCAAAGGAGTTTTTTCTTGGGGGCATGAGAGATGACAGCACCAGTTATTGGTGCGCTTTGACAATGCAGAGTTATATAAGTGGGCGAAAAATAGAGGCTATTCCACCAAAGTCAGCTTGCCTTACTTAAGTGATTTTATAGTCCCAAAAGTGAGTGGTACCCACTATTTGCAAAATTCCTATTTCATGTCATAGAGAAATAGAATTCTATAGATTGAGCTTCAACAAATGTTAAACAATGACTATGTACTAGGTACTTTCACATTGTGTTTAATAACAAAAAATATAAACAGTATCCTATTTCTAAAGAATAAATTTTTGACTTGAAAATTCTGGGAAGAGTAGCACAAAACATTGCAGAACCTGATATAGGTAAGCAGAACCTATGTGTTAGTAACTTTCTTTAGATGTTCTCTGAGTACATTCCTTTACTTTACAATGAAGGTCACTCTCTGAAGATCCTCTCCCAGGGACTGAAGATAAGGGGAGTGGCTATCTCTGCTTCTCCATTTGCCTCATTACCATATTCTTTTAGAGACCTTCTTATCTCACTGTAAACTTTTCTAGTTACTGATTGGTGTTTAACCCAACAGTGGGTGATGTGGCCATGTGAATAAAGATGAATTCTACACCATGAAATAGAATTTCATTTCAGGATTAGTAGTAACAGAAGCAAATGATATCTTCCCCTGCTGTCTAGATGAGGGGATGAGGGAGGGCACCCACCCAGGTTGCATACCACATTAGCTAGAGCCAGGACTACAACCCACTGCTTAGGATGCTTTGTTGGCTTGTCTCAATATCTCATTGGCTGAGTGAGGACTTTCTTAGCTGGATGATCAGTAAGCCAGAAACTGATCTTCTCTTGGATTTGGAAGTAGGGTCTCCTTCATTATTTTTTTTTGTGCCACTTCTTCCCTACTTCCCTTTCTGCTTCACAGGACTGGCTCTTTGTGGGTCTATCACCCCAGAGCTTTTGGCCTTCTCCACCTCTTCCTGGTGGTCCAGGAACAGGTCCAGGCAGTATTCCTTTAAGTGCAGTCTTGTTTGTGGAATTCTAACTGAGAATGAAATTCTGGTTCTGGAGGGCCAGTCAGGAGACCAGAGCTATGGGGAGAAATGTTGTGGTTTCAGAGGTGACCTCTTTGCTGATTTTAGAGCTCTGTTCAGTGCCTGTTGGCAGTATGCCAGGACAGAAGGAGCTCTGGATTCACTAATGCTTGGTTCATGGTTAGACTTCCTTGCATAATTAGTATTTAAAAAGTCATTTTATCTAAAGATTTCAAATTGAGAGACTCTCAGTCCTTGAGAGACACTCTACCGATTGCAGCTGAGTTTGGAAAGATCTTGCAGCATTTCTCCCCAGACCTGACCACTGGCCAGCTGCTTTAATCAGATTCAGTAGAGTTCTGGGACAAATTCATTCTTCTTCCAGCTTCTTGCAGAAGATGTCATGTTCCAGGTTGGCCTGGGTCTTTCTGAGAAGCTGTAGAATAGTGTTACTCAAACTTCAGCATGCAGAATTACATTAGATCTTAAAGTGTAGAAAGCTCCTAGGGGATGCTGATGCTGTTATCTAAGAAACACCCTTTGAGTAGAGGGGAAATTGCTACATGTCAGGCATAGAAGAGATTTTGTAAATGGCCCACCAAATGTAAGGTTGTGCTATTACAAAGAAGGATATAAGATGCAGAGAAGAAGATTGACTTGTCTAAGGTCACATAGCAAATTAGTAGGAGAAACCAGTACCAAATCATAGGTCATCATTTTTCTTTTGTGTTCTGATGATCTGCAAGAGCAGAGAAGTAGAAATAAACTTTTCTACTTGTATTATCAGGTTTAGAGCAGCTCATAGAATCCAAATCTGATATGCTATATCTAGATATCCCTGGAGCCCTTCTTCTTGGTCATGTGAGATATTTGCTGTGTTAACCTCAGTACCTTATGTGGATCCTTTCTGACACCAAGTGTAATGTGCAGTAGTGCTTGTTGAACAGGATTTGAGTGTCTTCTACTCTGGACCATGCAGAGTGGGTGGTGCCAAAAGGTACCAGATGGCCAACTCACTATTTAGGTTGAACTAACAGATTGCAGGAGTGAAGGGTGGGTCTGGGCCAATGAGCCAGCCATCAGACTTCAGAATGTGTGTAGTACTTTGGTGCTTATGATGTGCTAAGTGGCAACACGGACACACTGGAATGGGGTAGTAGATTT